CCGGAGGTGGCAGCGCCTTGAGTCCAGCTACTCGGGAGGCTGAGGCCGGGAGAATGGCGTGAACCCGGGAGCGGAGCTTGCAGTGGAGCTGAGATCCGCCACCTGCACTCCAGCCTTGGGGCGACAGCGCGAGACTCCGTCTCAAAAAAAAAAAAAAAAAAAAAGTGTGAGTCGTGGTCAAAGGATTGTATCTCAATTGTATTGATTTCCCCTTCTCCTTTAGATTGGTGTGGGAACTTCTTTTTATTTTCTGGAAATGGTGGGTTGATTTTGGCAATGCTAGTGGACCATCAGTAAACAGGTGTGTAGAAAATGAAAACTGAGCCGGCGCAGTGCTCAGCCTGTAATCCCAGCACATTGGAGGCTAAGGCAGGTGGATCACCTGAGGTCAGGATTCTGAGACCAGCCTGGCCCCAATATGGGGAAACCCCGGTCTCTATTTAAAAATACACAAATTAGCCGGGGTGGTGGGCGATGCCTGTAATCCCAGCTACTACTCGGGGAGGCTGGGCAGGAGAAATCACTTTGAACCCGGAGGCGGAGGTTGCGGTGAGCCGAGATCGCGCCATGCCACTCCAGCCTGGGCAAAAAGAGCAAAACTCTGTCCAAAAAAAAAAAAAAAAAAACAATATATATATTACTATTTTTTGTATTTCTTAGTAGAGACGGGGTTGCACCGTGTTAGCCAGGATGGTCTCGATCTCCTGACCTCGTGATCCGACCATCTCGGCCTCCCAAAGTGCTGGGATTACAGGCTTGAGCCACCGCGCCCGGCCGACTCACACTTTTATAGAGTAATTCAGTGTTTTGGGATGAGATTATCCAGATTATCTTTTTCATTTTCAGAAGGAATCTGAATCTTGGACCCTTTCCCACTGTAATAAAGTGTCCTAGCCGGGTGTGGTGGTTCACACCTGTCATCTCAGCACTTTGGGAGGCCAAGGCGGGTGGATCATGAGGTCAGGAGTTCAAGACCAGCCTGGAACTACAAAAATTAGCCAGGTGCAGTGGCGGGCGCCTGTAATCCCAGCTACTTGGGAGGCTGAGGCAGGAGAATCGCTTGAACCTGGGCAGCAGAGGTTGCAGTAAGCTGAGATTGCTCCACTACACTCCAGCCTGGATGACGGAGTGAGACTTCATCTCAAACAAAAAGTGTCCCATTGCTGTGGGGAACACCCTCAGGAAGTTATATTTTATTGACCCATCCTGGCAGCTGATAGGGGAGAAAAAGCACCAGTGAAGAGAGGAGCAATCACAGGTGAGCCTTGGCAGTGCTGGGGGATGGAAGTAGGTAGTTCTTTGAACTGCAGGTCTCTTAGGGTAACCCCTCATCATAGTAAAGAGTTAGGAGCCTCTAAATCAATGACTGTCTGCTTTAGCTGAACAGTGGTGTCGCTTGGGAGCTTAAAATAAATCCTGATACTTGGAGCCCATCCCAGGTG